TAAGGGGTAAGGAGGAAAGTTCTGTTGGAGAAAGGTGTTTCTGCAATGAATAAAAATATTAAGTGTTAAGTGTTGGAAATTTGGAGAAAAATAAGAATGAAAAAGAAAAAGGAAGTAAAGGCACAAAGTGCTTGGTTTGGAAAAGGAAAAGAAAAAGGAAATGAGGAAAAAGGGAAATCAAAACAACACAAAGTGTTGAAAGTTGGAAGAAAAGGAGGAAGGAAGTTCAAGAAAAAGAAAAGTTGTAGAAAAGGTGGTGAAAAGAGTAAATGAAAAGGAAGAAGAGAATGAGAAGGATTAAGGAGTACATAGATAAATTCAATAGTGATCCTCCTCTTATCTGAATATGATTCATCTATCTAACTTTCTGCAACATCAAATCCTACCGTTAGCCAACTACGTGCCAAGCCATTTTCCTTCTCCTATACAGAATCCTATCCTTAGTCAAGTCATACCACCAAAGCCTCTTTTGTTCGGCTTATGAATCACTGTCACTATGGAAAGTGAGAAGATGGGCAAGCTTATAGTAGTTTGAGTGCAATGGAGATTGAGTGATGAGTACACCCTTAGATACTAGAGTGCAAGAGACTTTATTCTCACAATTTTTGAGAAGTTCCAAGTGAGGGGGTGTTTTGTGTTGAAGGTCTCTGCATTTCATCTTACTGATCTGTTGAAAGTCATGTGATGAGGTTAAGCAAGTCATAGTAAAAGATAGATTGCTGGGTTGTTAGATTGTATCTTGGAAAGTTGATCTGTCATATTTCAATCCAACCTCATAAATTTCATGTGTAAAGAATCTCAAGTCTTTCTCTGTCTTTAAAGTTATTGCTGAGGACAACAATATTCAAATATGGGAATTGTGATGAACCCTTAGTTCATCATGGTTTTTAGCAGGAATTAGGATCAAATTGTGTGATTAAATGATGAAAAAAAAAGGTTAATGTCCTAAAATGTCCTCAATTACAAGTTCAAGAGCTTTATTGGAAATTTGTATGATTCTTGTAGGAAAAGCAAGCTTGAAAGACAACTGGAGAAGGAAGAAGATTCTGGAGCTCAAGAGGAGAAAAATTGCCTAAGTGTTGAGCGCTAAAACGCCCACACAGAGCGTTTTAGCGCGCTGCTGCACTTAGAAGATGGAAAATTGCTGGTCTTGGGCGCTAAAATGGCCTGCAATAAGCGTTTTAGCGCCCTGAAGTGGAAAAAGGACTCTGGTCTCCACCGCTAAAACGTCCAAATCAAGAGTTTTAGCGTTGGAGTCAGTTAAAGTCAGTTGAGCATTCACTAAGTTTGGACGCTAAAACGGTCATTCCTTAACGTTTTAGCGTTGGAGTCAGTTAAAAGCAGTTGAGCATACGTAAAGCATGGACGCTAAAACGGTCACTTATGGACGTTTTAGCGCCCACATCAGTTTTCTGTTTTTAATTGTAACACTATAAAAGGCAAAGCCTTGACACTTAGAAGAAAATCTGGATCTGAGAAATATGATATTTTCTCTCTCTCTCTTAAACTTTAGTCTGACTTCTCTCTAAATTCTCTTAGTGTTTTAGTTGTTGTATTAGGATTTCTTTGTAATAGTTTGGAGATTGAAGACTTTCAACATGGAAATTAAGTTTGATTCTTCTTCTCTTATCTATTCCTTGGTCATGTCTGAGTAGAATCTTTGTAGTCTGAATGCAATAGAACTCCATGATAATATTATGTTGATCTGATTAATATGATGAAGTATTTTTCATGTCTTGATTTGAGATTTTCTGATTTAATTATTTCTATCAAGGAAGTAGTATAGAACAGGGATATTTATATGACTTCTGTATTTGATAATCTCAACATCAGAATTCTAGTACTCAAGGGATAGATGCTAGAGTTCTGATGTAATCTTAAGACTTTAGTATTTCATGCAGATAATGCTCTGAGCTACAACAGCAACTGAAACATGCATCTGTGGAGTGCTTTGGATGTCCGCGATTACAGGGTGGACCTTGTGGTACCCATTAGAGATGAAAGGCCTCAAGAGCAATACATGGAAGACTGGGTGGACTCTTGACCCTTCAGGTAGTTTCAGACGATATGCTACCTTTCTGATTCGCTCCGGAACTTCAAAAGGACCATAAAATCATAGACTAAGTTTGTGTGACGATCTTCGGTGTATAGTCAACGGACGATATAGTTGAAGTCGCAAGAGTACTTGATCTCCGGTTTGAAAGGTATGGTCGTTACGTTTGCGGTCCGCCTATGCCTTCATTAAAGCTTGTGCCTTTTTTAAGTTCTGTTTCAATGATGCTAGGGCCAGCGTGCGCTGATGGAGATCTGTGTCCACCGCTTCAAGGGAAGTGGATCCCAAGGTGAAAGCTAAAAGGCAAGGTGGAGAACGTCCATACGTGGCCTGAAATGGGGTGGTTTGCGTGGATCGATTATATTCAGTGTTATAGTAGAACTCTGCCCAACTGAGGAAATGATGCCATGTTGACTGGTTGTCACGCACGAAGCAACAGAGGTATTGTTCGAGACTCTAGTTCACTCTCTCTGTCTGGCCGTCAGATTGAGGGTGGTATGCAGAGGAAAAGTGAGGCGCAGGCCCCTGTAACTTGAAAAGAGTCTTCCAGAATTCACTAGTGAATATGGGGTCACGATCTGAAACTATGGATCTTGGGGGTCCGTGTAGCTTCCCTACCGTGTCCCAAAATACCTGAGCTACCTTCGCTGCTGAATATTTTGATGGTAAGGCCACGAAATGAGCTCCTTTAGTAAGTCTGTCCACCACCACGAGAATATCTGTGAATGGTTCTAAGATTTAGCCTTTTGACATACTTCACACTACTGTTTGTCCTCCTGAATGCCTTTTTTAATGTTTTTCCAGGTGAAAGAGGCACTAATCCGGATGAGTGTTCGACGGATTCCAGCATGGCCACCTACCTTGGAAGAATGGAATTGATGGAGCAGGATAGGAATCAATACAGAGCCCGGAGGAACAAACTGATCCAGATATGGTTTAAAGATGCGATTCATATAATCCATGAACATCGTCGGGGCATTAGTAAGCCTAAAAGGAATCACCTGATATTCAAAATGTTCGTATCTGGATCGGAACGCCGTTTTAGACACATCCTCCGGCTTAATCCGGATCTGGTGGTATCCGGACCGGAGATCAATCTTCGAAAACACACAAGCATCCCTCAAATGGTCCAGAAGATCATCAATATGGGGTAAAGGGTACCTGTTCTTAATCGTAACCTTATTCAATTGCCGATAGTCAATACACAATCCCATGCTACCATCCTTCTTTTTTATAAATATTACTGGTGCTCCCCATGGAGACACACTCGGACTGATAAAGTTCTTTGCAGATAGCTCTTCAATATGCTTCCTCAACTCAGCCAGCTCCAGTGGCTATATCCGGTATGTATCCAAAGAGATAGGCCCCATACTAAGCAACATGTCAATGGAGAATTCAATCTCCCTCTCAGGTGGAAACTCTGGTATCTCATCAGAAAATACATCAGCAAATTCATTAACCACCGGAATATTTGAAATTTCTTCTTCCTTATCACCAACAATTCCACCCAAGAACACATAACCAAGATCACCAACCTTTAAGGACTTAACATCTTGACAGACAGACAGATAAGGAGACGGACAAACAGCGGGCTTCTCATGAGATAATATCAACATCTTTCTGCGGCAATCAATCATTGCGCAGTTTTGAGACAACCAATCCATACCCAAAATCAGATTAACAGAGGCCAGGGGCAAGATAAACAAATCAATAGTGTAACCCCTGCCTTCGTAGACAAGCTTCACTGGTACGCGTTTTATACAGCGAAATAGTCGGTGTTAGTTCTGACATCATTGTTTATTATTTTTACCCCAAACTTTATATTCACCTAGATATTTTTCTAGGAATATTCATATTTTTATTTCTATTTTTTGGATTATTTCGCCGTTATTCATTTATACCGTGAAATACCCAGTGTTTTCACTTTCTTTCTGAAAAGTGACTTAATATAATTATTATGCTCTTTCCATATTTATTCAAAGTCAATTATGGAATTATTTCTTAAATCACAATTAAATTATTTAAATTCCTAATTTAGCGGTGCGGGTTCTTACACAACGCTTGATCTGAACCGGTCCGATGATCGGTTTGCCAAATTTCGAGTCGACCCGGGTTTCACAACACTGTTTGTAATATGTGGATTTTAAATAATAATACTATTATAAAATTATGATAGATCTAAAAATTGAGTTACGTTGTTGTTATTATTATTATTATTATTAATATTATTATTATTATATATTTATATATTTGAGTATAACTTTGTATTTTAAATGAGATATTAGGATCCATATCTTCAATTCCATGATTTACATGTCAAGTAATATCTCGATTTTGATTACATTGAGTAGAATCTCTTGTTTCCGTTTTAAATTACTTATAAAAAATTTGTACAAATTAAAGGAAAGTCGCTGCTTTACTCTAGTCAACTAATTGATTTATCTTTATGTCTAATAAAAAGTAGTGCTAATAAATATCAACAATGATGAAACCAGTCAATTGTATGTCCATCAACTTTTCACTCGAAAAGTAATTTGATGTTGTAAAATCAAAACGGGTTATATTAATAGGAAGTAATTATAAAATATGGTATTCTGGTAGCTAGTAATAATAATAATAAAATAAAGTAATGAATGATTTTTGGGATCAATTCGGAAATCGAAGTAACGGACATAAAAAAAGGAAGTTGTATAACTTTCAGATAGGCAGTTATATGTATTAATAGCGATAACTAATTAAAAAATGAAATATATTTAAGCATACTCTTGTGAGTTGTGTGAATACAGCTATTGATACGCAAGATATGTGTTAGATATGTAAAGATATTGAGTGAATAGGTAATCAAAGGGTTATATATAGAAACAGTCTCTCTCATTATAATCAACTCTCATTTCTCTTCTCTTTTCTTAAATCACAGTGAGTCTGTCTTTATCAAGCAAACACAAACATGGCAACAAAGCCAAACACACACAAGAGAAAATTTGAAATCAAGAAAGTGGAACAAAAGATCAAGGAAAGAATGACTTTCCCCAAACATGAAGTAGGGCTTTTCAACAAAGTCACTAAATTATCCATTCTATGCGAGGCAGAAATAGCATTGATCATCAACTCTGAGAAGAATGGCAACCTTCATGCTTGTGGCTATCCCAGTACAGACACTGTCATTCAACGCTTCGTTGCAGGAAGGTATTCGGATCCCAACCGATATGTCCGTGATGATGAAAGGAAGAAGCAACAGGCACTTGAATCCTTAATTCTACAATATGAGGCCTCCGAGGCTCAATTGGAGGAGAGAAAGATGCATCTGCAAGAAATGTCACAAATAATGACTGATAGCTTCTTTAACTTTTGGTGGGAAAATTCGATTGAGGAGATGAGTTTGGGCGATCTTGAGAACTTCAAGGCTTCTTTGGAAAATTTGAAGCTTAATTTGGTTGCTGTAGGACAAGAGAAGAAATTTAATTCACTGCGACCACAACCACTTTCAATTGTTTCCTCCCTCACAGATATCAAATCTTGAATTGAGTGGATGCGGATGTCACGTGCTGGATTGTACTAATTCCATGGTTCCAAAGAGTTTTTTGGTTATTGTTAATAGCATATGGTTAACTAGATGTTATACTTAATTTTTTTTTTATAATTTCTTACAACCATATCTTAAAACTTTTGATTTATGCCAATCAATGGTTATCATTTATTATGAATTAATAAATAATTAATAACCGTTGATTGGCGTAAATCAACGGTGTTAAGACAGGGTTGTAAGAAGTTGTAAAAAAAAAAAATGTAAGTATAACTTTTCTTGTTCATTTATCTTTCTAACGAAATATTCAAGATAAAAGCAACACCTCAAAGACTGATAAAACCAAAGTGTTATCGAGGTAGATTCTAAAAATAAAAAACAATTTAATCAAATTTCACACTCATAGTTAGAGATCAACGAGATTAACTCCACCAAAGAAAACAACGTTCGGATACGGTTTTTGGAAAGTATAGAGAAAGAGGTGCTTGTGGGTGGGATTGTAGTGAGAGATTGTCGTTGCATTTTAGTCTTTTAGATTTTTGGCTACAAATTTATAATTTGATCGCAATGTTGGGTTCTTTTCATGCAATCTTTATTAGTGTATTGGTGAGTCATAGAGTTTCTGTAAGGACCTAGATCTGAGAAAGAAGGAGATAAATGTCAAAGAGAAGAAGAAAAATGATGAGAGAGAGAGAAAAAGAGAGAGATTGTCCAATAATTTTCTGTCTATTCTTCACGCCCCTCCTTGGACTATATAACCAATTCTGTTACAATCTTTTCTATTTTACCTTCCATTACTAATTACCACAACTTCTATTAATCATATAGGCCAATTAACTTATTGGAAATAATCCTTCAAATAACTGGGTTGCTTCTTAACTCGATTGGGCCTAGCTATCCTCGACCCAATAGATTGGTTCACAACATCCCCCCTATGAAATCAATCTCGTCTTCAAGATGTCTTGGCCCAATAGCTTCGTCCACTGGCCCAGATAAACTGTCAGTGGGAAGGTTTTGGAGTGTTTGCGTGGGTGGGAGCTAGCTCGTGGCTACTAACCCTTGACTTATGGAAGAGGCATGTGGTCCCTCAACTGCCACGATTTGATTGCCTGGCTCTGCGGCTAAATTAATGTTGTACTCTAAACCCAAGTCAGTTGGATGTCCCAGCACATTTCCTTTAGCCGTTGTTTCCTCTACACCTTCTTTACTCTCGTCGTTCAAAGGAAACGGTAAAGGTTGAATCTTTGAAACTCCTTTCCCAAACACCATCTTGTCGTCTTCCCAGGTAGACTCCTCCGGTGGAAATCCTTGCCATTGTACGAGTCCTTGGGGTATCTCACGGTCCTGTCTCCAGATAACACGCTGAACTATAACAGCTGCTGGAACATACATCGGTTGAGTGCTTTGGAGGTCCGCGGTTACAGGGTGGACCTTGTGGTACCCATTAGCGATGAAAGTCCTCAAGAGCGATACATGGAAGACTGAGTGGACTCTTGACCCTTCAGGTAGTTTCAGACGATATGCTACCTTTCCGATTCGCTCCGGAACTTCAAAAGGACCATAAAATCTGTTAGTATATGGATGTCCTAGAGACAATCTTTTAATTAGATTAAGGACATATGTGGACCTTTGTATTGTCGCAAATAAATAAAAGCACTATTTATCATGTTTCATATTTTGTCTCAATATTACTGTTAATATTTTATATGAGTAACTGGATAAACCCCTTGGAATAAAATAGATATCTCTTGTATCTGTGATGAGATCACGATCATGAGGATTCAAGGATACTGGATATTTATTCCTAATTTTATGTTCCTAGTCTAGAGACACTGAGAATGGGGATCAGTGATCTCGGGTTAGACAAGCACGACTTATCTACTTGTATTCGGATGCAAGGTAAAAATCTCACGAGCTACAGATATGGAGATGTCTTAGCTAAAGTCGTGGGTGGATCTATAAGGGTATAGCTCGCACTGAACAGACCCACAAAAGAGACTCTATGAGAAAATCTCACAGAGAGTATCATTAGAGTAGTCTCTTTATATTTGGGTATGTCTTTCCTTAGACCAGAAGTTATTTCCTAGACTGTGTTCTAGAATGCATGCTTTAACTGTTTACCTCGTCTGCCTGAGACATGGAGACTCATAGGTATATTGTTGGGCTTGTCCTGAAAGAGCACAGGGCTAGGGTGATAAGCTGAAGGAATTCATCAAATCTCTGTGAGAGATTAGGTTATCTGTAAATCGAAGAAATCAGGATGACATTTACAGGGACTCGGGAATCTATGCATAGTAAAAGAGATCATGAGATGATCTGCCTTTAGAGTCAGTAAATTGAAGATTCCCTATTTCGAATAAAGCTTACCCTAAACCGCAAGGGTTGATACGCTTCCTTACCCTAGGTTTTATGGAAAGTTTACCAAAAGAAATACATACGGCAACCAAATATATGTAATAGGATGATCAAGTCATTAATCTAACTAGCTCTGGGGCAACAAAGCATTGCTAGTGCTCTGTGTTATCATTAAATGGGTTGTGGGCTTGTTGGGCGCGAGCCCATTTATGTCAGTGGCTATGTTGGACCTAATGGGTCACACACTAACACCTTAATGTCATGATGATATAGCATTAAAGGTATTGGGCCTAATAATGGTTGTTAGTCCAAGATGAAGTTTGGAAGCCCACCTAAGAGGGAGAGGGCGCATGGTATTGTTAATGGGCTTGGATGGTCCAAGATATTACTAATTAATTTAATTAGTTAAATTAATTATCAAATATTTAAATTTTGAATTTGAATTTTGAATTTTGAATTTTGAATTTTGAATTTTGAAATTTGAATTTAAATTTTGAAATTCAAATTTTGAATTTGAAATTTGAAATTTGAAATTTGAAATTTGAAATTTGAAATTTGAAATTTGAATTTTGAATTTGAATTTTGAAATTTGAAATTTGAATTTGAAATTTGAATTTGAATTTGAAATTTGAATTTGAATTTAGAATTTAAATGTTTGAACGTTTGAATTTAAATGTTTGAATTTGAATTGGTGAGTTCATCCTTAAGGTTTTTCAAAAGAACCTAGCCAATTCTTCTATACACCATTCCCACTCTTGTGAAGTTTTCATGCTGGAGACTTCACTCTTCTAAACACATATACCTAGCCTCCTTCTTCACCTATTGAGCACATAGCAAGCCTCTCTGTGGTGGTCAATTGGTGGCTTTCAAGAAAGCGTTCTTGCATCTTGACGTGGGTGGTGTGGATCAACGTTAGAGGGTTTGAACCCTTCAAACCTAACACTGATCGTCTTGGAGTTTTGAGCTCACAAACAAAGGTAACATCACATGCCATAAAGCATGATTCTTGATTGCATGTGTAATTCCGCATACGAAAAATTTTGTTTTTCCCTCTCACATGCTACGGCCCTCAAGGCCATTTAACTTTCAAAATCGTAGACTAAGCTTGTGTGATGATCGTCGGCGTATAGTCAACAGACGATATGGTTGAAGTCGCAAGAGTACTTGATCTCCGGTTTGAAAGGTATGGTCTTTACGTTTGCGGTCCGCCTATGCCTTCATTAAAGCTTGTGCCTTTTTTAAGTTCTGTTTCAATGATGCTAGGGCCAGCGTGCGCTGATGGAGATCTGTGTCCACCGCTTCAAGGGAAGTGGATCCCAGGGTGTAAGCTAAAAGGCAAGGTGGAGAACGTCCATACGTGGCCTGAAATGGGGTGGTTTGCGTGGATCGATTATATTCAGTGTTATAGTGGAACTCTGCCCAACTGAGGAAATGATGCCATGTTTGCTGGTTGTTATGCACGAAGCAACGGAGGTATTGTTTGAGACTCTAGTTCACTCTCTCTGTATGGCCGTCAGATTGAGGGTGGTATGCAGAAGAAAAGTGAGGCGCAGTCCCCTGTAACTTGAAAAGAGTCTTCCAGAATTCACTAGTGAATATGGGGTCACGATCTGAAACTATGGATCTTGGGGGTCCGTGTAGCTTCCCTACCATGTCCCAAAATACCTGAGCTACCTTCGTTGCTGAATATTTTGGTGGTAAGGCCATGAAATGAGCTCCTTTAGTAAGTCTGTCCACCACCACGAGAATATCTGTGAATGGTTCTAAGATTTAGCCTTCTGACATACTTCACACTGCTGTATGTACTCCTGAATGTCTATTTTAATGTTTTTCCAGGTGAAAGAAGCACTAATCCGGATGAGTGTTCGACGGATTCCAGCATGGCCACCTACCTTGGAAGAATGGAGTTGATGGAGCAGGAGTGGAATCAATAGAGAGCCTGAAGGAACAAAAATACGGTGTCAATGGTACAACAATCTATTTCTATACGACCAATGAGGCCAATTAGTAGGATTTGTCTGTAGTTCCTGTAAAATTTTATTAGCATAGGCATTCTTTTGTATATCAGACTGTATGGTTGAACTGTATGTAGATGTAGGAATGCTGAGTGCCATAAGTGTAGGATCGTTGCCGGTAGTGGGCAACAACTCCGGTTGGCGGGATAGAGCATCCACCGCCGTGTTTAATTTGCCTGGCTTGTACTGTATAGAATAATTGAACCCCAACAATTTCGCAAGAAATTGTTGTTGTTCCAGAGTTTGGATCAATTGTGATATCAAGTGATGTAGACTGCGGTGGTCCGTTCGGATAACAAAGGGCGTACCCAACAGATACTATCGCCACTTTGCTACTGCGGTAATTATGGCATACATTTCCCGGTAGTATGTAGACTTTGCTTGCATCAGTTTAGACAATTTACAGCTAAAAAATGCAATGGGGTGGTCGAATTGCAGTAACACCGCTCCAATGCCCACACCTGACGCGTCCGTCTCTAAATTGTGAAATTTGGCACAGCAAAAATTAGGGCATTGGTGAGTAGATCCTTGAGAGTATTAAAGGCGTGTTCTGTGTTTGCTGTCCATTTGAATGCATCTTTAGATAACAAATCAGTAAGTGGTACTGCAACAGAGGCGTACCCTTTG